ACCCGGATCTAAAGGACACAGCAAGTGACTCATCCAAACCCCTTATCTCTTACTCTGGGTCATGTCCTTCTTCGCCACCTTCTGTGATCTCCAGTATTGCTGCTTTGGAGAATCAAATGAAAATGATTGATTCTGTCATGAATTGTCAGCAGCTGACCAGTTTAAAATCCATAGAAAATGGATCAGGGGAAAGTGACCATTTGAGCAATGACTCCTCATCAGCCGTGGGTGATCTCGAAAGCCAGAGTGCAGGAAGCCCTGCAATGTCAGAGTCTTCTTCCTCCATGCAAGCTTTGTCTCCTGTAAATAGCAATAGTGAAAGTTTCAGATCAAAGTCCCCAGGTCTCAGTAACCAGGAAGAGCCACAAGAAATACAATTAAAGACAGAAAAACCAGACAGTCCACCACCCACAACTGAAAATGGAGGCGCATTAGATCTGACATCCACCAACCCGGGAAGACCAGTCATCAAAGAGGAGGCTCCTTTTAGCCTGCTGTTCCTGAACAGAGAACGTGGTAAGTTTAAAAGTACTGTTTGTAATATCTGTGGCAAGCCTTTTGCTTGTAAGAGTGCATTGGAAATTCACTACCGCAGCCATACTAAAGAACGTCCATTTGTTTGTACAGTCTGCAGTCGTGGGTGTTCCACTATGGGTAATTTAAAACAGCACTTACTGACGCACAAATTAAAAGAGCTGCCTTCTCAGTTATTTGAACCCAACTTTACTCTAGGTCCCAGCCAAAGTACTCCTAGCCTGGTCACCAGTACAGCGCCTACCATGATCAAAATGGAAGTGAATGGTCACAGCAAGCCGATCTCTTTGGGTGAGGTTCCCTCGCTTCCAGCTGGAATCCAGGTTCCTGCTGCACCACAGACAGTGATGAGTCCGGGGATCACCCCTATGCTGGCACCCCCCCCTCGCCGGACTCCCAAGCAGCACAACTGTCAGTCGTGCGGGAAGACCTTCTCCTCAGCAAGTGCACTGCAGATACACGAGCGCACCCATACTGGTGAAAAACCGTTTGGTTGCACAATCTGTGGTAGAGCTTTTACCACAAAGGGGAATCTTAAGGTAAGAGGCCAAATCAAACTGTAAAGGCTTGGGGAGGGGGTTTAAGGCACTGTGCTTGAACTCAGCAGGTTTTAGTGCTAAGTGTTTGTCCCAGAGACAGGAGAGAAGGGACCTTCAAGGAAATGCTTGCTGTAGAATGGTGATTATTATGCTTCAACTGTGTTGAAGATGGGGACTGGAAAGCGGCTGTGCAATGATGCAAACTTTAAAGCTGGCTCCAGGTGTACATGCACACACGTTGTAGGTTCTCCTGGCAGACATGATGGCACCCACAGTTGGCTGGTGGACATGTTCTGGCAGTTCTTGTGGACCGTCAGTGCAAAATAACCTTGCTATAAACCAGAAACACAGAGCTTGCTCAGCTCCTTGGGTTCCGCTCAAATTTCCATTTTCTGTTCTGCTTTGCAGCCACTGCAGACTAGAAAGCTGTTTCCCACTGATTTACAGTTGGTTACTACAGGACTGACACGTCTCATTCCCACAGTCTGGTTAACCATCAGGACACAGCCTGGGGAATGCATTTTAAAATGTCCTTTTTAAAAATACTACATTTAGCGAAATAATTGATGCTCCTGACATGAGATAAAATACTATGAAAATAGACAAGACGTAAAAAGGGGAAGGGCAGAAAAAACCGCCCATCTCCTAGTATAAGTGATGCCCTTGGTAATCTTCAACATGTGAGGACTTTCAGCTTGCATGTGAAATTGTCTAACCTAAGGGGATATGTACTCTTTATTCTTTGCGGTGCTGCATTTGTTGTCACTGAGAAGAAACAAACGCACATTCAAAAATTGCGACGGAGCTGGGTTTTCTTTGTATAGGTTGACTGGGCCTTAGAATTGTGTCTTAACTGCAATTGATTTGTTTTCAATGCGAATGAAAAGGCATTTTTAAAAAAAGCAAGCGATACTGTAAGTAACAGCATTTCAGGCTGGCCGCCTCACCAGAACATGCTAACTTGGGGGTGCTTCTTGTCCCCGTTTGCATCGCAGGTTCACATGGGAACTCACATGTGGAATAACGCCCCCGCACGCCGCGGCCGCCGTCTCTCCGTGGAAAACCCCATGGCTCTGCTCGGTGGCGACGCGCTCAAGTTCTCCGAGATGTTCCAGAAGGATTTGGCAGCTCGGGCCATGAACGTTGACCCCAATTTTTGGAACCAATATGCTGCAGCTATCACTAACGGACTTGCTATGAAGAACAATGAGATTTCTGTCATACAGAACGGAGGCATTCCCCAGCTCCCAGTAAGTCTCGGCGGAGGCGCCATCCCGCCTCTCAGTAACCTTACCAGTGGCATGGACAAAGCTCGCACGGGCAGCAGCCCCCCCATTGTCAGTCTGGACAAAGCCAGTTCTGAAACGGGAGCCAGTCGTCCATTTACCAGATTTATTGAGGATAATAAAGAGATTGGCATAAATTAAAAGCATTCATTCTGAATAACTGTTGGACCGCCACTCGACACAACACTTGTCCCGTTCCATGTACAGCTTTTAAAGCTAAGCGTTAGTTTCCTGACCTAAATGCATAGGTTCCCTTTAAAGTTTTACCCATAGCAGAAATACATAACTTTGTGGCTGCTGAAAAGTTGTCTTGCAAGATCTGCATGGTACTTCTTTCAACAGTGAGTTTGACTGTTTCTGAGAACTTTGAAACCTTTTAATGTAACAGAAAACAAACAAACAAATCACGGGATAACTTCCTTAGAAACAGAAAGAGGCTAGTCTACGTCCACTTTGCTTCTTACAAAACTCACTATCACCTGAGAGAGGGGGGCTTCATTATGGCATTCTGTCACACTTATTTGCTGGTTTTATTCAAATTAGTTAGCAACTTGGACTATGTTTTTAGGAATCTTAATCTTAAATAAGTGATTTAGTACCCCAATGCTGTGTATTATTACAGTATCCTTGTCTGTAGTATTTATAATGTTAAGATTATGCGGGTAACAGACAATATACTAGCCCCAAATTTAAATGAAGCTTTTGTACTGCAAAATACATCTGGCTATGTGATCTTTCTTTTTTTTTTAAAAAAAAACAACAAGTTTTGTTTTACTATAAATAAGTGGTTTATTTCAATGCAGGCAAAATTGTGAAGTTTTATTGGGAAAGATAGCATGCTTTTCATGTGCAAGTACCTGTCAGTAACAAACCTTTTTTTTTTTTTAATTTAAATATTTGTAGCTGCTATGTGGACAGTTGTTCTATTAAATGAAAAAAAATGTAGTGTGGACTTTAGCTCAATGATTGGAAAACAAGTTACAGACAAACCTTAGCACCATAAATTATTCACAACATTATAAACAGTTGTGAGTAAATACTTCGTGTTATCAAAGCTGTACAATAAAAAGGTAATGTTTGTATAATGTGGTTGCAAACTCTTAATTTATACTATTGCACTTTTAGTATTTTGTATTAGGGAGGTTTGTCTATAATTTGAAACTGAACAAAGATGTAAACTATTTTATAAATAGTACTTTGACTTAACGAATAAGGAGGAGAACCCTGTTGCAGTTTCTTGTTTTGTTTTAAAGTCAAACAATGAGAGATCTCTATTAACTAAGCAGAAAAGCCGCAGAGAACTGTCAGATCCTTAGGAAATATGGGGCCTGGCATTTCTTAAATGGAAATGATTCATTTAACTTTTCTACAGAGCCCGCTTAAAAGCGTGACCACCCCCAACAGAATTCCGATACATTTATCTTAGGAGTGTGATATTAATACATGCCTAGGATAGAGGAAGGAGAACATTATGTAGGTTTAATTCTACTGTAATCTCTTGTCTCTTTCACACATACCCATGAGAAGGATGTCAACTGCCTAATAACGCGGAAACAAAGTAGTAACTTTTGGGCGGCGTGAGCAGTAGTAACATACAAATATTCTGTATTTATTTCCAACTCTTGCTGATTATCTTCTCAGATTGCTCCAAAGCACAATGTACTCTGATTAATCAAATATAGTTTTATGTTGATTGCATTGTTTAAATTACTCTGAGTAAATAAAGGGAATGATTCCACTGGTAAGCTAGGCTGGGGATGCTGAGGAGACTGGGGCTTAATCAAAACTTGAACAGTAAACGTTTTGTGTACTACCTCATTTTTGTGCATTACAAGCATGGTGGAGTTGACACTATGAACTTCCGTTCAGCAGAATTGCTTGAGGGACATTATGGGTAGCTGGGTAACAGCGCAAGGAGTTTTATGCCCCTGAAGAACGAATCAGACAGTGAGGTCTTCTCAGTTGAAACTGAAAAATAGGACAATCTTTCTTATACAACAAAAACCATTACTGTAAGAGGATGGACTATTTCTGCCATCATGTAATGGAGTGAAAAGAGGTTCAGAGACTTATTAGCTGTTTGTTTCTATTGGAAATGAACAATGAGCTCTACCGCTCCATTTTCTACAGTGATGAGATAGAGATATATAGATAGCTATATCTATATATAAGCAAAATTATATATCTGTAACACCTCTACAATATAACATCTTTTTTTTGCCACAGTGTGTAGGTGGTTAGGGGTGTTTCCAAGCATTGAAAAAAAGAAAACTGAGGTGGCTTATTGTTGCTGTATTTCAGCAATTGAATGTTTTTATTTATCTGTGTCATTTTTGGTGTGACTTTTTTTTTTGTTAGTATTTGGTACCATGTAGTGTTATCTCTATTCCCTAAAGGATGTGTATAACTTAAAAAAAATAAAGAAAAAAAAAGAGAGAGGAGATAAAATGAAAAAGGAAACAAGAAAAAAGGTGTAAAGTGTTGTAAATAAGATGGTTGATGATGGTACAGTAAGACTGACCCCATTTTGTATTCAGGGTTAGGTCATTCCTCTCTGCATGGTGAAGAGAGACACTATTTTTATACTGTGATACCATGTAGGGCTAGGAGCCTCCCTGAACCAGCTGGGAATTGTTACCTAGATCCAATATTTTTTATTATTAAATCTTGTTGGCTTGACACATCTACTGATTGAAATGGATGTCTTAGTCTAGGTTACTATTTTTGTCATATGGAATTGAATAAAATGCAGGATGTAATATTATTTCTGGATTGCGTTCTTTGATTATTGTAATAACAGAGCAAGATATGAGACTAAGGTCACTTGTGGTAGATTGGTGTCAATGACTTCTAATCGTCGCATCTGAAAATCGGAGTAAGGTCGACACCTTATATTCAAATACTATTCTAATATATATTAACAGTGCAAAGGGGTAGAATTATTAAAGTCTCTTTTCCCTTAAAAATAAATTGTAAGAGCATTTCTCAGAAGACAGTAGAATTAAAACAAAAACAAAAACAAAACCCAAAACATTTTGGAGGGGGGGAAACAGCCTTTGGAAGTACTACCATTTCAAATTGACTGCTTTCTGAACACTTACCATGTACTGTCTACCAAAAAAGCCTCCTTTTCATGTTGCTTAAACATCTACCTAATATTCAGGATACACTGCATGATAAAATTTGGGAACAAATTTATCAGGAGCAGTTCAAATTCTAAAATACAAAAAAAGAAAAAAATTGACAACTCGCATCCGTTCATTCCAAATGACATAACCTGTACGTTTAAACTCATGGCTTTGTTTCTTCCTTTTTTTCCAAGACCTTAATTTATCAAAGCATGTCTATCTTTAACCAAATTATTTTTTCACGTTGGTTTAAATGAAAGTATTTACATTCTTATGGTTAGGCATGTGATTAAGTATTTCCTGCAAAAAAGCTGTATGTTTGAGTAACCTTCAAGCTGTTATAATCCAGTGATGAATGCCTGCTGCATTTAAAACAGACAAAAGATAAATAAAAGAGAAAAATCTGTATTAATCATCTTTCAGTGGCCTTGTTATGAAGATACTCTGTTTTATACGACCTACCCAAAGAAGGGTACGAGTTTCCTCTGGTGACTCAACAACAATAGGTTTGCGCTTGTGTTCCTGCATGCACATCCCAGAGCCTTGCTGAGAGAAAACATGATATGCAAAAGAGAAGGAAAGCAAAGGAGCGCTGACAGTTACGGTTCTGTTCAAAACACAAGAGGAAAATTACCCGCCTTTCCATCCTCCCCCCCAAAATAAGGATGAAAGCAGAATGGTATCTATTTTTAAATATATATGGGTTATTTTTTTTATTATAGAAAGACATTAAATGATAAAATGTGCTACACAGATAAAAATGGTCAAAGTCTGCCAAATTACAGATGTTTAAAAATAGAGCCACATAGGAATTCTATATAATCAGAAAAATTGCTGGTTATGATTTTTTGAGGGGAGGTGTGACATTGCAACATGAAAATTCCAGCAAGGCTTTCAAACTCTTCACTTATATTTTTTCCATGAGTTACTAGAAAGAGAGTATTTATGGTAAATGATTGACATAACTACTTTTTTGCCCGTTTTTTTTTTCCCTTTTGTATATATTAGCCCTCAATATGTTACCCATTTCTTTACCTATTTTGTTCCTTCTATCTTGGCAAATACTTTGTTTTTCAACAAAAGATGCATTTGTGCTGTACTTGTGTTGCCTTTAACTTACTTCTCTGCATGTACTCTGTCGTTTGGAAGATACTGTGGTTTTTTTTTTTTCCTTTTTCTCTTATTCTGCAGAAGTCAAAAAGAGCTGCCTGGTGTGTTGTTTTTTTTTTTCTTTTTTACATCTATGTGTAACACTAGCATAATGAACGGTGAAGTCATCAGTGATGTGATCAGGTATGTGCGTAGCTCGCAGGGTTTGCTAACAAACTTGCCATTCGCATTCTTTCCTCCAGATGAAGGCATGAGGTTTGTTAGCATTGCTGGTATAGGGCAGCCACAGATGGTCAGGAGGATAGAAGTCTTGATACTGACTTCACTGCATCTGCCTTTACACTCCTGGGAACTCCATGGGCTTCAGTGGAGATACTCCAGGTTTATACTGGTACGAGAGGGAGTGCTTCCAAATTCAGGTGTCTTGCTTTACATGTCATCGAAAAAATGGCCATCTATATAGTATATTAAAAGTATGTCTAGGCAAAAGCATTCTGGACTTTATTTTTAAAAAGAGGGAAAAATATATTTTAGTACATACCACAGGATTATCCCAGTTTTAAAGGAGGTCCTGAAAGCTGAATCTAAAAAAAAGATTACTGTGCCCCTTAATATAGAATTTGATGTCATCATATGAATAATCAGTCCTTTTTCACATAAATGAGTAAAAGAACCTGTAACTTTTAGTCATAAAAGTAGAAGAATGTGAGAAGCTTACTATGGCTCCGCTACACAAGGTAGGCACTCAGAGGGAAATGCCTTCCCTTTGCAGATACTAATGGTATCAGCAGATTTACGAAAAGAAAAATACATGTTTGTGCTTGCTACAACACCAATGTATAGTATTTTATTTTTTCAGAAGGGAGAATGTCTCAATCAATTGACAAAGTGACAGCTGTGAAA